TACCGTGAGAAATACCCACACCACATCACTTCCGATACCTACTTCCACCTTAACTAAAAAGTCCATAATTTATAATGGTAGGAAAATATTTATTCATCTACCAAAAAATATAAGAAAAATAGAAGATGAAAGAAAATTTAAAAGAGAAGTAAAAAAATTACTTTTGAACAAAGCTTGTTATTCAGAAATTTAATATTTTGACGACTCATTTGAGACTGTGATTTGTTGTATAGACTTATTTTATTTTATTCAAGACCAGCTTTGATTTATGTTTTGTATGACCTACCGAAGTCGACTTATCACTGTTTTTAATATTGTTTTACAAGTCAGCATTATATGTTTTAGGTATTTTTTTTTTTAGTTTTTAGTTCTGCTTTGTCAATGAGATGTTTTAATCTTTTTTTTATAACAATAAAGCTGTTTTTGAATTTGAATTTATCATGTTCTGCGTAGGGGCTTATATAATATTTAAAATTCATATTTTTGAAGTTTAATGTTCAGTTTTGCAATAGTTAGTTCAAATAATGAAACAACTTATATATTATCCCCAGAAAAATAGTTCAAAAAATATACAGTTTTTCTCAAAGACATTATTTGAAGAAAACGCAGTACCTTACGGAGTGGCAAAAATTGGCAACATCTTAAATACTGACACCCATGTCACCTATATTGGATTATACCTGTGTTTTAATAATGTACCTTGTCCATTGTTATAATATCACCCATTACTGGTACAACCTAATTATTACCTTGCAGGTAATCGCAATACGGTGCAGGTCTTATTTTTTTTTTCTACTTGCTTGCTCGACTTTTCTTCCTTCTAGCGGCTAAAAATTGACCCCCCTATTTTTTTTTTTGGAAAATCAAACAACTGGGTTAGAGGTACAACATATCAAAAATTTAAGCAATTTCACTGAAACCACTTTTCAATATAATTTGTGCGTGTTCCTTTAATTCTTTGGTTTGGGTTGGAATCATGACAAGGTTATTCGCTTTAAAATGTGAACAAATTAGAATAAATTAAACACTTTTAGAAAAAGCATTAAATTCACTATAAATCTGTGCTAAACAGAGTTTGATAGCTCAAATTGTTTTTGAGTAATTGAGCCTCAAATTTGAATTTAAGTCAAAATTTAGTTAAAAATTTCAAAGTCAATGTTCTCAAAAATTATACACCTGGGAATTTTTTCCAATACAGGTTTTTCAGAGCTTAATAGGAGCTACAATTCCTGGAAATTTTGATTCAATATCTCTCACGGATTTCAAGATATTGAAGCTTAAAGATTTTGAAATAAGAATCCAAAAAGGGTAGGTACCTACTCTTTGAAAAAATCGACATTTTTAATTTTTATATTTTTCGAATTTGGAGTCAAAAAACAATCTAACATCATCTTCAAATGGCCATTTCAAACAGAAATAAAATCATAAAAGAAAATCTCAATTTTTTGAAAATACTGACAAGAAAAATTGCCAATATTTTCATTGGCATTCGAGCAAATCAAAATAAATTATACACTATTGAAAAAAGCATTAAGTAAATTCTCTATAAATCCGTGCTAAATTTAGTTTGATTTTAGTTTACCAAACTGTTGCTTCAACCCTCCTTTGGGTATATTGAAAATTTTAAAAAAATCTTTGAAAATAGGTATAAGAAAATTTTTGTTTTCTAATATTAAAATCAGTAAAAGTTTCAAAAATAATACAGTACAAGCTTGGTAATGTGAACACGAAAAGTACAGACCCTTTTCGCATTACCGATTGTTTACATTAATGAAAGTCTCTTTTTGTTTAAACTGAACAAAAATGTAAACATATGATTATCATTTATCAGAAAGTTTGAACAAAAGTACAATAAACGCGAACTATAGGTCTGTTCTCACAGAAATCACAAAACAAGTCAGAGCAAATTTCATTTTTTGAAAATAGTTAGAAAACTGGTTGTTAGAGATTTGCACCAATCAAAAACGCTCTGACTGGTTTGTGATTTCTGTGAAAATATCTTATAAAATAAATAAATATCAATATCAAATAAATTCTTGGTGCCCACTGCAAAGATGGGAAGTGAGGTATTTTTGATTAGTTGTTTTTTCGCGGAACTGTATAAAATAACCTGTGAGTACTTTCAAAATCTAATAGATCATCAATCCACTTAGAATTTAGAACATATTGACCTTAATATTGACCAAATGTTCGTATTATCGAGCGGCTTGCTGTTCACGTTATAAAGTACCCAATATGGAAAGTATTGTGTTCACAAAACCGCGTTGTTCACTTATACGAGTGTTCATATTAAAGAGCGTGTACTGTATATATATATTTTTTTTTTCATTTTTCTATTAGTTTAATGTTCTGATGTAAATGCACCCAAAGCTAGCCAATTTCTATAGTTGACTGGATTGGTCATAAATGGCGCTCTGTATTAACTGAATCAAAATGACTGGGTTTACACGGACATTTTTTGATCGAAATCCAAAAATAAAATCTCTTTTTTTTTGATAAGGTTAATAAAAGGTGCCCAGAGACAAAACGTCAGATTTCAAATTTGATAATGCCATATTGTAGAGGAGAAAAAGTGGCAATGATGAAGTGTCATTAATTGTGAAGTACCTATGTCTTTAAATAAGGTCAGGAAAAAATAAAACCTATTTTGCAAATTTTCGTTTTTTTTCAAATATCTCAAGCATTTGGAATCTTCCAAATTTCGAAACGGTAATTTAAGGTCTGTTCGCACAGAAATCACAAACAAGTCAGAGTGAATTTCATTGGTTGAAACTAGTTTTCTGACTGTTCTCAACCAACCGCTCTGACTGGTTTGTGATTGCAGTGCGAACAGATCTTTAGTGAGCAATAAATTGTGTAACTTTGCCCCCAATTCAACCGACTCTGTATAAAAATTGAACAAATTTTTATACAGAGTCGGTTGAATTGGGAGCAAATTTTTTTTTTTTGTAATACATTTTATTTTGACTGTTTATCTACCTATGGATACATAAATAATCATCATCAAAGCCAAAATCAGAAAATGTCGCAAATGTTGGCAGAACAAGCAATAGCAATATGCATCAAAGCTGTAAACTTTGACGGAAGTTTATCATTTTGGTATTTTTGCTACCTGAATAAAGGAACATTTGGTCCATAAATGGCCCATTTATAAACTTGACGTTACGATTCCGTTACCGTTTGCGTCGGCCTATCTCAATTTGAAAATATACGATTCCATATATAAAGATCGTTTACAGTTGCCGTCCGCCTCAGCGTCTGCCGTCGCGCCTGCCGGTTCATTCCGACATAAAACAAATCCTTTTCGTCTGCCCTGCCGATAGTAGAAATTAAAAGACTGTTCTGAACGCCATCTTTTCACGAAATGAGGATGCCGGTTATGTTTATTGTTTACTTTCTGAGAAGGTCAAGTTTAAAAATGGTCAAATTTTTGGGACCAAGGACGGCGAGGATATGGCAAACCCGCCAGCAGACGCAAACGGTAAAGCTGGATTTATAAACTTAGACGCCCGCGCTCACGTTCGCGCTACGCCCGAATTCCCGTTGGAAACGAATTATAAATTTTTTGACTGACGTTTGTCGCTGCTGTGCGATTGTCCCGCGTATTTGATAACATTTGACATAACCGCAAAATATTTTTCGTATTCCGGGTTCTGTTCATTTTGATAGTATTTTTATTTGAAATAAATTCGAAAAATAAACAACAAACGTAAGGTTCAAAATTTTAAAAATTTGGTTGTTGCGCATGCATGGCCAAATGACCTGTTTTCATTGGCCATGCGCTCGAACGCGAACGAAAACTTGGTCATTTTTCCAGCGCGGACTCGGCGCAAACTCGAACGCGAGCGCGGGCGTTTATGTTTATAAAGCAAACTTCGTGATTTGCTTGATTATGTTGAGCGCCAGCGTCAGCGCGGGCGTAAAAGTTTATAAATCCAGCTTGACCAGCTTTAAACAGTATCGTAACGTCAAGATTATAAATGGGTCTACTTAAATAAACTGTGTGAAAAATGTTGATACAAAAAATAAGCAAACAATAATTTATCACTCAATTAGTCTGTATAAACTATAAACCCCACAAAATCAAATTAAAAACAACCATAGAACTTTAGGATGCGGCATGGCTTTTTGAAAGCATACAAACAATATTTATTTGTATCCACTCATTGACAAAATATATTGAAATAGAAAATGAGAAAATAGGCGTCTGCTATTCAATATGAAAAAATAAATAAATCAAGAACCAGAATAATTGAATGATAACTTACGACATTCTATTTTTGTCGATGTGGTTTAATTATTATAAAACAAACAAAAATCAAAATATAGATAACAAGTTCCTATACATTGAACATCTTGCGCGCGAATCCTGCCAACTTTACCAGGCGGCATATCGCTTTTTGATTTTAATATGGAGACAAGACAAAGCGACTTCCGATTGGCCTAAACTCGTTCCAAGCGAAGCTTTATAGGAAACATTATGAAAGAAAAATGTTCCCAAAACAATAATCTACTAAATATTTCTCAAACATTTTGCATATCAAACAATGATAGGGTACAAAAAAGCAAGAAACCGTTGAAATGGCTACCCACGCCAAGCCTGCTATTGCAGCAAGTTGATTTACAAACTACAGGCGTGCACCGATTTTCACGAAAAAATCGTTAAATAAAAAGAAAACGCGGGAGACAAAGTCCTACGAAAATCATAAATAAATTTATACAACGATTTTGTTACAGCGAATTTGCTCTACGAGCCGTAGTTCCAGAGATATTTTCAAAAAATGTTGTCCACGAATATCCATACTCCTACTATAGCGTGGTTCGCCATTGTGTATAGGGACGAAACGGTATAACAATATTTCTACAAGAGTAAACTACTCGATTTTAACTGTTAACCCGAAAAAATCGCTAAACAAAAATTATGCAAAAAAAAATTAGAAACTTAGTTTTGTAAATTTCGCTACTCCTAATAGTGAATATCGATAAAAAACAGTACTTACCGGCAATTTCTTTGCGAAGATCTTCTTTTGATATGTCAGCCATGATGTATCGAGAGAGATAGTTCTACTAACGAAGCGAGACGGGAAAAGACTGGGACTTGGGACAGGACGATCGGCTCGACGGGCCTACCTTCGTGTCTTCGGTCGGACATGGCCATGGCGAGCGTTTGACAGTTGATTCCGACGTTGCCGATACTTTTTTAATACCCAAAGCTTAAATACAGATACAGCGAACGAATCCGTTGGTATAAATTTCAACGAATTTGTGGCATTTGGAGAAAAAAGTGATTTCCCTGTCCACATGCAACGAAGAAATGTATTTGCATTTGATCGCTTATTTTCGCGAGAAAATGCAGCAATTATGAATTCGGAACCTCATCTGTTGCGATCGAAATGACACTCGGGCGCTTCTGCTTTTGCCGCGGGGGATGGTAGGTACAAGTCGCCCTCGCCCCAACTCGCAGTGTCATTAGTGTCAAGATATATCTTTTCTAGTTTTTAGAATCTTGTGTGATTTAGGATTATCGGGACATGGTCATCTGATATGTAAATACCAAAGTTATTTAAATACCTATTCTTATTCTAGACCTGTCTTCCAAGTTGTAAGTACTATAGGCAGTGGCGATGCCAGGGCTCTATGTTAGGGGGGCCCACACTGGGCCAGAAAAATTTAGGAGGGCACTTGTTTTTATATTACTGCTTTTCTTCTTTAGAATAAAAAATGGAAAGTAGGTATACCTGTCGACACTATTAGGTTTAGGGGAATCCCAGGAAGCGCGGTTGCCTGTGCCCAAGAACACTCAACCTAATAGGACTGCTTATTGAGTTGAAAATGTCTGCCATTTCAGCCGAAGACCTCAACACTTGGCGTAAAATGCATTAGCCGAGTTTAAAACAGTATAGGTCGGAAAGCCGATTTCCCTATCGTTATAATCTTGTTAAAAATCACCTTTTCTACATTGAAAAAATCGACGAAAAAGCAAGCACAACCTGAATCGCAAGCATCCCATCGAGGCCTGCGGGTGACGTCATCATTCTAAGCGGCTATGCTGCTAACTAGTAGTGACGTCACTCGCAGGCCCTGCCGACTCGAGAAATGGCGAACGTACGCCTTATGAGGATGAGAAATCCTGTTAGTTTACGATTTTTGGCCCGTGCTCACCGAATAGCAAATACCGAATTAACCACTGATCTCAAAAATAAATGGATAAACAAAGAACGCTTTTGATGCTGCTAATTTACGAGGTCATAGTAAACAACTGGGACAGCTGTGAGCGTGCGCAGTAGAAACATTTACTGTCACGGACACAGCTTATCACGGCCATGTGTGAGCAAAATATTGTCAATGAAAATGAAGGATAATTCAAAATTTAGAACTGTTGTTCGAAAGATAAGACACTGCGTAGCCGTTACTGTTCCGTTGCATAACTGTTCGTAGAATATTGACCCCAAATTTTTGCACAAGTTGAGCCAATCAAGCCGTAGAATTGTTTATCCATTTATTTTTGAGATCAGTGGAATTAACCGGCAGAGACTGACGAGACTGTTGATGTTAGTTGCATTTCATTGTTGCCGACATGAGAGCAAGTTTTCAGGGGGGGGGGGCGGCTAAAAAATCGACGAGAAAAACAAACACAACCTGAATCGCAAGCATCCCATCGAGGCCTGCGGGTGACGTCATCATTCTAAGCTTCTATGCTGCTAACTAGTAGTGACGTCACTCGCAGGCCCTACTGACTCGAGAAATGGCGAACGTACGCCTTATGAGGATGAGAAATCCTGTTAGTTTACGATTCTTGGCCCGTGCTCACCGAATAGCAAATACCGAATTAAGGAGCGCGCCCACTGAGCCCGCTCAGCCCGGCACAGCACTGCCAGCGCGGCCGGCAGATTTTGTTATGTTTGTAAACGAATAGAGTAGCGCCCACTGAAACGGAACCGCTCAGCTCGGCGCCGCACGCTCAGCCCGGCAACGACTCGTATTCTCGATAGGGCAAAAACTGCCGGTCGGTCCGCGTGTCTGCGACCATAGAAGCATTGGATTGTTTTATTTCATTTTATTTGTTGCATCATGTCCGATGAAATTTTGATTGAAACCGTTTGGGCATATGCATTGTTGTATGAACACAAGGAAAAATATTATCACGATACCATTTGTAAAAAACATGCTTAGAGACACGTGTCTTTTTTATTCACGAACCTATCACTTCGATAGTCAAAGTTGTTTTGAATGCGATTTGGGTCTGATCATGCCGAAGCAATGGGCGGTGGCTGCGGAAATGCCGGCCGCGCTGACCGTGCTGTGCCGGGCTGTGCGGGCCCAGTGGGCGCGCTCCTTTAACCACTCTCAAAAATAAATGGATAAACAAAGAACGCTTCTGATGCTGCTAATTTACGAGGTCATAGTAAACAACTGGGGCAGCTATGAGCGTGCGCAGTAGATACATGTACTGTCACGGACACAGCTTATCACGGTCATGTACTGTGCGTGCGCAAAATACTGTCAATGAAAATGAAGGATAATTCAAAATTTAGAACTGTTGTTCGAAAGATAAGACACTGCGCAGGCGTTGCTGTTACGTTGCAACTGTTCGTAGAATATTGACCCCAAATTTTCGCACAAGTTTAGCCAATCAAGCCGTACGATTGTTTATCCATTTATTTTTGAGATCAGTGGAATTAACGGGCAGAGACTGACGAGACTGTTGATGTTGCATTTCATTGTTGCCGACATGAGAGCAAGTTTTCAGGGGGGGCTGGCTAAATTTCAGTGGGGGCCTCAGCCCCCTCTGCCCCCCCACTGGCGTCACCACTGACTAGGTACCTCTTTGGCACAGAATATATAGGTACCCAATATTCTGTGCTCTTGGCCATACCAATTTCAACAAGTTGCAACAAAAGTGGAAGAAGGTGGCGGAGAAAAATGGAAACAACAGCTCAGGTAATTTTCAACTGACTTATTTATCTTTCTTTATCTATTTTTTTTGTTTCTTTGTGCATAACTTTGTCTATTGTTTATTCGACGTAAAGGCGGAATATAGCTACTCATAACTATAAGAATTATGTACAAAACGTATAAAAATGAAAATTACGCCACTACAATGTATTACATAAATATTATTAAGTTACAGGTTATCAACGAGTGCTTAACAAGTAGATAGGTACAACCATTGTGGTACAACCCTCTCAAGCTAGACTTTCCAACAACTGGGCCTTTAGAAAACTGAGATGCGATGAGATGAGAAATGCGATTCAAGCTGCACCTCCAAATCCAGAGACTCTTGATTAGCTCAGATTACCAGATCACCTTATCGAAGTTAAGTTATATGTAAGCACACCGGGCAGACAGTGAAGAGGGACCCAAAATAATACTATTTTTTAGAGGGCACAACACCACTTGGTACGCTTCCATCGCGCTCTCAGAAGTTTGGCCCAATGATTATGAAATTATAATTAGAATAAATTACTTCAAAATAGTAATTTTTATTATTTTTTATTTGTAATTTTCATTATTTGTGATGTAACCTTAATCTTAATTTTATTTTTATTGATTTTGTTGGTCAAACTTTCTGAGGCTGCTTCTAGTTCCTCTTTTGTCTCATAGGTGGCTGGGAGTTCGTTAAACGCCAATGTTCTTTTTTAATAATATTTTATTCCAGACTTCAAATCAGTACAAATACATAGGTACTGGCACTGAAGCCTTACTACATAAAAAACATATAATTACCTACAATTATAGTAGTACATATATCATGGCACATGGTATACTATGGCATAGGTATAATAATAATACTTATATTGAAGTTCATAAATAGAAATGTTCAATCTCTGCTTAAGTGTTTCTTCAAGTTATTGCACATCTATAGGTGGTAGACGCTTTTTACTCATTGGGCGTCGACCGGTGAGATACCACCATGCCAGAATTGAGTAGCGCTAATAAGTGGTATCACCACGTTCCGCTACTGCGCTGGCAGTCCGGTTCCAACAATGAGTAACAGATAGCATGATGGCGCCTCCAGGATCAAAATATTCCGGAGGTAAAATACCCGACCACTCGGATCTCCGGGAGTCGGGTGATCCTGGGGGTCCTTCATGCAAAGATATAAAGAGAAGATCAAAAACTCAACTCAGAATTGATTTTAGCAATATAAGAGGAATAAGTACAAATATGAATTCAGTTCACCAACATCTTGAAGAACAAAGACCTGATATCCTTGTTCTCACTGAAACTAAAATCAGTTCTGCAACACCTATTGTGAACTATCTTTATCCCGGCTTTGACCTACACCACCGATTTCGACATAATTTTGGGATCTGTGTGTACATTAAAAATGACCTTTCATGTCATCGAGAGGAGAAGCTAGAACCAGCGAACCTTGATATCATATGGCTAAAATTCACCTCAAAGTCATCGACCAAGTTTATCTGCTGCCTCTACCGACCGCCATCTAACACCGAGTACCAAAACTTTTTCGCGACATTATCCGAAAGCTGTGATAGTATACAGTCAAACTATCCACAGGCGGAAATTGTCTTTTTAGGCGATTTCAACGTCCACAATATACCCTGGCTGAAACACCACAACAAAACAGATAACGAAGGCAGAGAAGCAGAAGCTTTTGCCATAAGTTGTGGTCTAACGCAGCTTGTCGATGAACCTACCCGTATCTCAGAAAGGGGCGAATTTGCAGCGCTTTTAGACTTGTTCCTAACCACAAATCCTGACTCGTACACAATTCAAGTAGATGCTCCACTTGGTTCGTCCGATCATAAACTTATAATAACAAAGTGCGAAATGCTCATCCCACCAAGCCAACAACCACTTCCTCGTAAAATGTGGCACTATAAATCGGCAAAATGGAATGACCTAAAACAGTTTTACCTGGATTTTCCATGGCAAGAGGTTTGCTTTAAAACAGCTGATCCCACTATTTGCTGTAATGAAATAACACAAGTAATCTTATCTGGAATGGATGCATATATCCCACATACAACTAAACGTAGAGCTAATGCAAAACCTTGGTTCAACAGCCAGTGTCAAACGGCTGTACAGGAAAAACACAGAGCATATAACCTTTGGAAACGACAACAAACCGCTCAAAACCACACAGAATTTATAGAAGC